GGGTTAACTATGTTACTGCCCCTGAGAACTTGGACTTCAGGATAAAAGCGTAAGACTTTTGTTCACACAATGCAGGTCCTTCTCAAGACTTTTTCTTGCCACAACCTCTTGTCTTTAACAGAAATGTGCTGCTTAGGCTGGGTTTGCTGGGTATTTCAGACCTTTCTTTGGGTGCACACTCACTTCCACCCTTAAAGCTGCTAGCTACTTGTCTCAACTTGGGTTATAAACTTGGCCAGGGCTTTTATTTTCCCTGCTACCAGGAAGAAGCAGAACGTGGATGGTTTTATGATGCACCTGGGTTTTTCAGTCGTTTTGATTCTTCTTTCTTCCATCTGTTAGTATCTTCCAAAATATTCTCCAGTGACTCTTTTTCTCCACCTCAAATATTCCTCTGTCTCTACTATCAGCTGCTATGAGTGTGCTGCTCTCTTTTTATGAATATGCCATTCATCCTTCTTCCCCAGGAGGCCCTATAGGATGTTTTTGTTCTCTATGTGTGGTGATCCTTCACGTATTTAGGAAATCTCCCTCAGCTGGGACGTCTGTTCCATGGTGATAGAAGAGGCAAAATGCCCTGGTTTGGGATCACCTCTGCTAATAGCAGAGTCTGCTCCTCTGAAATTAATTTCTGAACCAGAGCAATACTATTGAAGGACTAATGTAAGAGCAGAGTATTAAATTATTAGAGTATTAAATATAAGGTATTAAAATACCTTATAATATGAAGAAATACATGTTCTTAGGTTATAACTAGAAGCTCATTTTAGCTGTTCTATTAATTAAGGGTTTTCTTTGACTAATGCTGATGAAAACACTGGATTTCATGCGAATAGGACTAGAGCCTTCTGAATTCCCAAGTGCTTTTTACTTATAGTGTAGTGTACAGCCCGGTGCTTCACACCAGTGCTTGTCGGGCCCTAGCATGGATCATCAGGCCCTTGCTGTGATCATCACGGTGCTTAGCATGTATCCAAAAAATCAGCTGTCCCATTGTGGCAACTTCAATAACCCATTGATTTCAGTACATTATGCTCGAAAAGAGATTGATTGATCTGGGGAAGTTGTATGAATTTCCCTTTCAGGAAGAGCTAGCACCATGACTAGTGGGCTGGTGTTGTTTGAAAAGTAACCTAAACTGTACGTACATGTCTGTTTGTATAGACAGCCACAAGATGCGTTGGCAAATACACAATATGCAGTTACTGTGATTTTTCTGTCATTGACAACTGCAGCTTATGACCAGACTCCAGTGTAAATTTTTGCACACACACAGGCACACAAATGCTAATATACAGACATAGATACAGATATAGATTAGATAGAGATAAAATTTGTATTGTTTTAAAATAATTTGGAATGTTTTGTGTAAAGCATCTTCTCACTGACAGGCCAGTGTATTGAGCTTGGCTAGCGTTTAAGAACCAAGGCTGTCTGTGACAGCAGTTTGAGTTAGTCAGTGGTGGGCATCTGTTGAAATGAAGCCAATAAATCTGTGATGACTTTACTTTGTGAAAGAGGGTTACAGAAGTTATTACTTAATTCTTTGCTGAGTATTTCTTACAGTGGGTAGGTGTGGAGTTTAACGTAGCCATGTAAGCATGAGCATAGGCGACACAAGGAGGGGTCATTTACACTGGCGAGAGCAAGTGCACATCTGTATTCAGACGTGAACAGGCATGTTCAGTATATAGCTGACTTGATGTTCTTTTACTGAACAGTGATGAAAAGAGGGACTGAAGGTCATCCCCAGTTTCATATTTTTATGAGTGGCTTCTTGTCTTTATTGTGAGCTGACTCCTGAGCCACTCCTAGTGTGAACACTGTATTAGGCACTGAGCTCTGCTATATTTAAACCATAAATGTCAACATTTTAAAAGACTTCCTAAGATAATTTTTATGATTTTCCAACTGAAGCAAACATGCATGACCTATGTATTCTTACTTATATCATTTTAGAGGCATGACATCCTTTTCCCTAAAAGAAAAATTGTCCACAACTGCTTTACAGCATCCCCCAGTACTCTGTGTTATAATAAGTGTCATCTGGACAGTGCCCAGATCAGGTGGAAGAAATCTTAAGGTCTTGCAACCTCAGACTGGTTAAAACAGTGATGGAGAGTCATGAACAAAAGGTTAAATAGAAGGCTGTAAACTTTCAATGCGATGGGGACAGATGCGCTTTTAGTTATTAGCACCTGAGAAACTAAATATGTGTCAGACTGCTGTTAAAGGTTGCCTACCAGGTGAAGAAGCCAGCCAGCTGATAACACAAGAAGGCAACTCTCTGAAAGAAACACAAACCAGAAGCAAATTGATCAGGATAGTGAAAACAGATGCAGACATAAGGTAGTCACAAGCAGTAGCAGCAACAGACTGCGGAAGTTTCTCTCCCAGTCTGCATAAGGGAAGCTGCGGATGTTATACAAAGTTGTGCTGTTCTCATTTCCCTGCATTTGCTTTACATTCATGTTTATTGCCCATCAAACACGTTTACATATCCAGGCATGAAATGGAAATGATTGATGCAAAGTAGGTATTTTTGTTAATTGTTGTTGCTCATGCCTGACTGGGTCTGCTGGAGATGGGTGAGGAAAGACAGAATTATTATTAGAGGTACAAATAATTGTCAAGAGCAACTTTTAAACCCATCTGCTGCCACATATGAACATCAAAAACTATCCGAAGAGGGGAGGGGCAGCATTACGAGGGCGAAGCCAACACCATATCTCTGTCAATGTAGATGTTGCCAACTGCTTCTGAATCTTTGTCCATCATTTTTTTTCATTCCTGCTCCCTGGGAGCTTCAATCATTTTCTGTCACATTGCTACCAGTGCCCGCTGTGTGTTGCAACAACAGTGTCTTATGCTGAAAGCTAATGGGCGTTTGAGAGTTGGGCTGCTTTATCTGCACAACACTAGTGAAATGCATCCGCTTTTTGTCCCACTTTTTGCCAGTTGGAAAGCAATTCTTAACATGCTTTCATACATGCAAAGCAGAGCCAAGATGAGCATCCAGTGTAAGAAAGGAAATCTGTGCTTGAAGTGCTTAAAGATAGTACTTTTCATAATGGAACTATACTGCAGAGGACACAAGAGGGTTTCTGATGCTTCCTGTTCTGCAGGAGTACAAGAGGGATTTTTGAAATACCTGTCTGAATGGTTGCACGATCCTTGGGTTCACTGTTGGTGTGGGCTGTGTAAGTAACTGAAGTGGATCAAAACAGTTGTAGTGCAGTTTGGTCATGTGTGACCAGCAGCAAGGAAACCCAGGCTCCAAATGAGTTAGTTTGGAAATATCATCCTTCAGAGTATCATCACAAGTCGTGGCTTCCAAACAGTACTCCCTAGTTTATATCCTTCCACCTGTAGCCCTTCAGCTATGACATAATTCTTGAAACAGATGTTTCCATTAGATAGTAGTTCAAAAAATGACCCTGCAGCAGAACATAGTATGTAGTTTGACCTCATAACCTTCTTCCAGAAACTATACTAATATATATATACTTTATATATAAAACTCAGACTGAATAAGGACAAAGCATTCAGCCCTGATTTCTTTTGCTTGGTCTGAACTGGGGAATGTATCTGCATTTTATAGGAATATCTATTTTTAGGACAAATGGGAGGTTTACGGAGAATCTTTAGTGGAAGGTTTAGGGACTCTTTAGTGGCAGAAAATAGGTGGTACGTGGGAAAGAAAGATAACTGTCTTGGAGATTGTTACAGATTTTGAGACTTTTCATTTAACTGCAGCTAGCTCTTGTATGAGATGGCCAACACAAAGTGTTGGCTTGTTTACAGGCTAACTTGTCGTCAGCAAGCTTGCCTCCTGCTTACTTGCTTTATCCTTCACTAGATTCAGAAAAAGTACTGAGATCAGACTTTTCTTAGGAAGTCTTAAGGCTCATGATTTATTAATGTATTGTCTGCAGTCAGATGAGTCATGCAAACTCATGAGCCTATTTTTGTACCAGACCGTGTGTTAATTTTAGTCATGAATCTTCTGCTGGTTATTCTAGCTGACAGAAATCATACGTATTTTGGTTTTGCTTTGTCTTTATGATATCACCCTGCAATTCAGGTGAGTTGTTATTGAATAAAACATTTCTTAGTAAAAATCTTGAATCTGTGAAAGCCTGCTCGAAGCACACTCAATTGCAGTCCATTTCAGATTGCCATAAATAGATGTACAAACTGAATTCAATAGCTAAAAGATGAACTGACAATGTGAGGTCTGCAGTTATTTGCTCTGTTTCAAATCAATATTTCTTGGTGTCTCTTTTGTATTCTTGACAGGTGAGGCTGTGTAATGATAATCTTTATATCAACAGATGCTTTTGTACTACACAATTATAACTAATTTCCGTCAAGCACTTGTCTAAAATTAAGTCATAAGAATGGATTTTAGGTGTCTCATTATCTTCACTCAAACCCATTTAATAGTAGGGTCCTTCTTAAGTAGGTGGCTCATTACAGTCTTGCACATGGTGTTATTTTTAGTGCTTGCAGCTTCCACATGAAATTGCTCGTGTCTCTCTTACATTCTGACCAAGCGCTGTGTGGATTATCATCTTGTGCATCGTGTGAGACATGCATGTCTCAGTCCAGAAGAGAAGTGATAAGATTATATAAAGCTTTTTTCCCACTGTTTCTACTATTACTGAGGGTTAGCATTTCAAAGCAGGGGGGAGTACACTCCAGTTAATTGGCTTCTACATAAAGTAACTAACACTGAACAGTTGATAGGTCAAAGTAATTCCGTTTCTCTGATAGCTGCTTATTTCCTTTGATCCCTCTCTCCTTCTCCCAGTTTACCTTGTATTTTATCCACAGTATTTATGAAGCTTTAAGCTTTTTACTGTCTCCAAAGCAGTCACTTAAAATGACTGTATTACATTGGGAAAAGTTAAGGAGGGGTGGTGGCTGGTAATCGATTTATTGGAGAATAGAGAAGTGAAATCCACTGAATCTTAAAACTGTGTTTAATTATGTTTCAGGAACTTCTATTACATCACGATGCTGAGGGATCCGGTGTCACGGTACTTGAGTGAATGGAAGCATGTTCAGAGGGGTGCAACATGGAAAACTTCCCTTCATATGTGCGATGGAAGAAGTCCAACACCAGACGAGCTGCCTACCTGTTATGAAGGAGACGACTGGTCTGGAGTCAGTTTACAGGAATTCATGGATTGCAGCTACAACTTGGCCAACAACCGCCAGGTGCGCATGCTGGCAGACCTCAGCCTGGTGGGATGCTACAACCTGACTTTTATGAATGAGAGTGAAAGAAATATGATTCTTCTCCAAAGCGCCAAGAACAATCTGAAAAACATGGCCTTCTTTGGGCTCACAGAATTTCAGAGGAAAACGCAGTATCTCTTTGAGAGGACATTCAACCTGAAATTTATTTCCCCATTCACTCAATTCAACGTTACGCGGGCCTCCAATGTGGACATAGGTGAGGATGTGAGGCAACGGATAGAGGAGCTGAATTTCTTGGACGTACAGCTGTATGAATATGCGAAGGACCTGTTCCTGCAGCGCTTCCAGTACTCCAAGCAAGAGGAGCATCAGAAGAACCGGCTAAAGAGGCGAGAAGAGCGGCGGCTGTTGCGGGAGCAGAGAGCTCACCAGTCACCAAGGGGAGAGGCAGCAGAAGTAGCCATTACTGAAGATTATAATAGTCAGGTTGCAAGGTGGTGATGCTCCTCCGTCTTGACTAACTGATGAAGAGGATCACAGAATTTGTGCAACTTGGCTACCTGGGAATTAGCCAAGGAAGGCCGATGCTTTGGTAAATGAGACCACATCTGACAACTAACTACCCCTCCTTGTCTCAGTTTTTCTTGGTTTCTGCCAGTGAGGAGAATGTATTTTTTTCTCAATAGGCACTGATTAGTGTTATTCAATCACAGTAGAATAGATTCCTGTCCAAAAAGACTTCCTTCAAAGCCCTAAGCTATGAGGATGGGTTGAAGAGAGAGCTATATCCTTTGCATTAACAGAGGTACTCTATACAATCTGAGCTACCAAAACTTGTGCAGACATCTATTGGAAAAAAATACCTGGTTTGGTTCCTCTGTGACGTGAGAGCTGGTTTGTTTCATACTGTCCTTTGCAACTGTATAGCTTTCTAGTAAATGAAATGGAGGAAAGCACATTGAGCTTCTACATGCTGTGTTTTGATTAAGGGAAGAATTTGCTGAGGTGATTAAAAAAGACCTAGGAAATGTGGGATTAGGGCATTGCTTGTTCTGTTCTGTTAGCCAGTAGTCAGAGATGATTTATAAGTGAGGTGGTGGCAGGGTTAGCTTATTTCTCTGCAGATGCTGAGAGTACCAAAACCAGCCAGGTAGCAGCCACCCTTCTGAGCATGTGTGGCAAAGGCAAAGCCTTGAGAAATGAGGTCCATTCAACAGCTAGGCAGATATCATGGAGATTATCTGGATGAAGGCAATGAAAGCAGCCTTCGCGTTCACAAAAGGTGCAGAGGGGGCAAGCAAACTACAGGGAAGAGGAAAGAGAGAGCAGGAAAAGCTGAAATACTAGTGTGACATTTTCCAGATTTGCTTTGAAAGCCTGGAGATCTATTGTCTGTGAGGGTAGGCAGGGTTATGATATCGTCTGTTAAAATACATTGATGCCAAGTGAATACAATTTAAGTTGGTTTTCTCTCTAACTACAGTAGTGGCTAGAAAAAAAATCAGCTTTCAGTTTTTTAGGATACATAATGGCTATGTGGAAAGTCTTGATATTTATCACTCTGTATGAAGATTCTTTGTAAATTTATTGTTTCATGATGAGAGATCTTTATCTGGCTTTGTTCCTTGTCTAGAAAAAGATTCAGTGGGTTCTTCCTCCACATGTTACATTCTTGTGGTTAAGCTGCATCTCTTTATTCCAAGATTTTATGTTGTTCCATTTGCAATAGTGAAATTTTAAAAAAGAGGGTCCTGTGTACCATGGATCTTTTGAGAGAGGTTTTTTCCTTCTTCTAGCATAAATGTAAAGCATTAGGAGGAAATTTCTCTAAGTGCCTCAACGTGGCTGCTAAATCAAGATGCTGAAAGTATATTATTGCGTGCATGAATGGCTTTTACCTTACAGATTTGCTAATTAGAAATACTGGAGTACCTGATGTGGATGCACATTTCTCATTTATTTTCAAAATTCAAGGTTTTTATCCAGTGGGTAAAAAAAAATAATGAGTTACAGAAGAAAAGAGGCTGAATTTCAGTATTTGTCTTTTCATTTCCAAGTTTTTTGGTTTTTTTTTTAGTGCATGCTGTATCTTCTCTTCTTCTGACAATGCTGTTGCTACTTACCTATACACAATATCAGAGATAAGCTCTAACCCATCTTGTTGAAAGTTAATGCATACAATAATACATTAAACATTGAATATGGTAACAGCTGTTAAGAAGTGAAGAGGGCTGTAGAGATGATGCTTCATTATCAATGTAGTTTATTAGCAATATGCTGATTTATGCCTGATTGTCAGTGTGATACTTTTGGGGTGAGTAGTGATGGGTTATGATCCCTAATACCTGTTCCACTGGTGGATTATGTGCATCTCTTCCCACCTCTGCATTCAGAAAGGAAAACACAGGACTGCAGATCATTACTCTCCTGCTTGGGATATCTGCCTTAGAGAAGAGTGAGGAGCTCTCTAGACTCCCCAGATGGTGCTGCTTGGATCTCCATAGCCTGGAAGAGGCGCTCAGATACCTCACTCACATATGGACACCAACCTTCAGAGGTTTAAATTGAAATGTTTACAATCTAGGTATGAAGCTCGCCCTGGCTGCAGGACAGGAAGGCCATGAAGAGCTAAGCTTGACTGATACTATTGCACCTTTATCGCAATGCAGGTAATACACAGTGATCTGATATCTTATCTGCTGATACCAGGGCTGCAGGTTGCGCTGGCCCTATGGAAGCAAGGAGCTTTCTGGCTGGTGACACAGGAATGACAGGAGCTGTTGCATCTCACTATTTTTGAGCCCACTGCTGCATCTTGCTGTAGACCCTGCAGCAAGAGAGAGGAAGCCTGCCTTGGCACCTGATACTGTGTGTCCAGGATTTGCAGATGCTCTCCATGCTTCCATGAGGAGGAATAGTGTGCTGGGGGGACCCTGAAGGGCCAGAGGAAGAGCTGTGCAGGAGAATAGCCAGCCACATGAGAGAAAAGATGCAAGGCCAAGTTCACATTAAGGAGGAAGATATGTGAGAAAGTAGAATCAGTCCCAGCCCATCTTTTGTGGTAAAGCATATTTTCTTCCCTCCCCCCCCATCACAAAAAAAGGGTCCCCTTTCTCTCATCCCTGCCTCTTTCCCCAGTGGGCCACCTCTCCATGCTGCTCACAGCAACAGGGGACTCGTTCTTCATTTAGAAAATGCAGTGTTACCTTTTCAGGGGAGAGGAGACAGAGCTCAGCAATGGTTCCCTGGAGCCTCACCGGTGACTCTTAAGTATCAGTTTCAGCTATTTAAGCATACCAGCCATTCTCCAGACTGCTCCTTCTGCCTGACACAAAACAAAGCCTAATGAAGAAAATCAAAACAATCTTTGGGTGGTTTACATTAGCTTTAATAGTTCGTTAATGCAATGCCTGACCTTTTCATCAGTCATTTCCCAGGAGACAAGATTAGGGTCCTGAAGAGCTCTTAATGTGCTGTAGCATCTATGGTAATGGGATTTGCCTTAACGCTTGGGATTTTGTTAAAATTGGTTTGTTTGGGGTTTTTTCTCCCTGCAGGCTGTGTAGCAGATAGATAGCCCTGGATGTACAGGAGTAGTTGTCGTGGTGGGAGATCTTGCCCAGAGGCTCTGGGACTGAAGGACCTGGCACCTCCTTCCCCAGCTCCAGCAGTAGATCCAGCAAACTCACTGTGCCAACAATACTGTTTTTCTTAGCAGAATTTCCTGGCACGTAACAAATAAAGCAACTTGGAAATACTTCCAGGCAGGCTTCTAAGACACAGGCTTGCAGCTTTTTTCCTATCGGGCACTATGCCTGAAATAAAGTAATACAATAGTAAAATAAAGTCCCTGTTAATATCTCTGTTATTCCAGGTTTTTGTTGCTCTGACAGCACAGGCTTCACTGTAATTACACTGGCTCATATAAGATCAGAGCACAGTGTGTTTCTTTCAAAATCTTCACGAGCAACAGGACTATAGGATTTCTGTCCATCTTCCTGGCATTATTTTGTTGCTTAAACAAGGCAATTTGGCTTCTGCTACTGTGGTGCTGAAACAAATCTCATTCTTTGTAATGGAGATGTACTTGCTAATCTCTCCTATCACATCTTCAGTACCGGCTGCCTTTTCCAGTTATAATTCAGTGTAGGCTTGGAGCAGACAGAGAAACCTGCTGTGTCATTAAAACTTGTTCCTGGTAATTTGATGCCTAGTCCAAGAGCTCAGCCTAGTGCCTATGGGCCATACTTCATTAAGGAATGAAAATTTGTCCTTTCTTCCCTACTCAACAATGCTAACAATAAAAAACTTTTTCACTATGGGGAAAGAAAAACACCATTTCTGATGGTAGGTATTCTTCACTGCGGTTGTGTTAATAGTGAGGCTGCGATAGCCTTGCCATGGATTCTACCCAACATGTGATAGTTCTTTGCAGTTCACTAAAAGGAGAAGTACAGAACAAACAAGCGATGGAAGTCACATCCACAATCAAACTTCCTAACTGCAGCATATCAATTCAGCCAAACCAAATGGTAGGTCATATCACCTTTGCATCTGGAGATGTTTCAGATTTGACTGGCTTTCAAGCTGGCTTTCTATTTAACACATGCTTCTTTCTGCAGTAGTGAATTCTTGTTTCCTGTCTGCAGCCTTGTATCAGTTATGGGCACTGATGTTATAAAACTTCACACTGACACTTTTTTTCTTCCATTGCTGTTCCCCTGGAATTATACTTTTTTGGTCTAGGATAAAGAATATCTTTCCAGGCTAGTGGAGACTACCCTGTACGAGATGAGCAATCACAATAAAATCATTATTCTGCTGAAGCAAATTGCTGTATTCTTCCTGCATGTGGCAAAAGCATACTCAGAAAAGGTAGCCAGTTTGCACTGAAACACTTCTCTCAGTTTGGTTCTTGTAGTACTTTCTTTGTTGAAATTTTGTGGAGGGAAATGGGTTCCATAGCCTGCAATGTCCTTGAATTTCTTCTTGGCCGTATCACTAGCTTGTTGGAAGTGAAAAAAAAAATCAAGATTCCCATGAGTCGCCATATTTAAGATGAAAGGGTAAATTAATAGGCTGTAAATTCCTTTATTCTTTAGGATTTTTCCTTCTGTTTATGTGCAATAATGTGTGTGAACTCTGCTATTAAGAGATTGTATCGTGAGTAACCATATCTACTTTTATTCCTATTTACAAGATAGACCTAGGGATTTTCATTGATGTAAAGCACAATTTAATGAATTATTTACTGTGTTTAACCATTGTGATGTCAAAATCATTGTTTTCATATATTTATTTGTTGGTGGTTTTCTGTAAAATGATGCTCATTAAGAAATCTGTTAAAAATGAGGAAGTTTTGTTGAATATTGTTGGGTCCATGAATTACTTAGGAGCAACAAATAAATATTGTTTGCGTTTTTGAAACACTAAAGGTTCCATCTTGTCTACATAGCCATAAGAATGATTAAAAATGCCTCTGTTGGACCAGTTTCAAGCATTAGCAAAGATCCACTGTAACCATAATTATGTTTTTTTAACAATATATACATGGAGTAAAAGCATGTTGATATAAGTTACAATTTAATTTTGTTTGGGCCCAGTACCAAATCTTTGGATTTCAATTAACTTTGCTGGGCATTATCTCAGATTGAATTAGGACAGGAGAGTTGAGACTTGAATAGTCACCAGTAGTAATTCAAGTGACCCGGTGTCAGAATTTCCATACTTGGATTAAGACTTAAATATGCAAATAGCAGTAGTGAATTCATTGGACTTCATTCCTACTCCAGCGGCACTGAGGCCAGTCCAAATTGTCAGGATAATCTCATGAGCTGCTGTGAGGAAGGATGAGAGGTTGCAGTCTGTTGCTGCACTGTAAGCCTCTTATGCATGCCCTTGTATCTTTTGAGAGTGCCTGGGCCTTGAGAGGATCTGATTGCTTATTCAGACATACTATTCCATGTAAGTGTGTGAATACAGTGAATTAGGGCAGGGATGGGAGCATGGAGGAGCATGGACAGACATGAGTAAGGAGGAAACACTGACCTATCTTCTACTGAGTGACTCAGACCCCCTGTTAGTTCTGCCTCTTCCAAGAGTAATCCAGGCCCCTGTTCCATGACTGTTTTTCACATTTCTCGATTATCCCAACAACAAGCCTTGCAGACATGGTACATCCCTGGAGCTGAGTCTGATTAAGAGAGAAGTTCATGATGTTACAAACTAGCATGCAGTGATCATGACCAGTCCATTTTTGCTCAAAGTCAACTGACCTCTTCCAAGTACCATAGAAAGCTATATTAAAGGTGAAAAAATACATAGTCTGCATGACAGATTACCCTTGAGACACAACAAAGACAGCATTTAATGGGCGTAGTAGAAGAAAGGAAACTCTCAGAGGTTCTGGTTGGTTTTGTTTTCTTAATTATTCTTCACCGCACCTTAGACTCAAACAGCTACTGGTTAGAAACACCACTGTAAGCAGGGGTTGTTTGAGCCTATAGTAACCAGTACCTTTCTAGAATTCATTTTCATTTCAGTATCGCATTTGATTATTTCTCTAGTTCCATTCACTTTAACTGAATTCATCTGTACTGCTGGTTTGCACTTGAAGTCTGCATATAAATGAAGACTGTAGGGTAGATCTGTATGTTAGGAAGTGTTTTGACTGTCTACAGCTTAGTGATGAAGTTAGATAGGATTGAGTGTTTATAGGTAGGAAACAGGGGAAAGGTCAACAAGGCAGATATGGTGGCAGTCTGTTACAGACCATGCAATCAGGATTAAGGGGCAGATCAAATACTCTATAAGCATGTCAGAGAAGTCTCACAATCGCTAGCTCTTGTTCTCAGGGGGGACTTCAACTTACCAGGTATCTGCTGGAAATACAACTTCTGCAGAGGGGGAGCAGTCTAGGAGGTTCAAGGAGTGTGGGGAAGATGACTTCCTGACAGCTGGTGAGGGAGCCAGCCAGGGAAGGTGCCCACTGGGCCTGTTGTTTGTGAACAAAGGAGGACTTGTGGGTGATGTGGCAGCTAGAGGCTACCTTGGGCATAGTGATCATGAAATGATAGAGTTTTCAATTCTCAGAGAAATAAGGATGGGGGTCAGCAGAACAGCCTTGGGCTTCCAGAGGGCAGACTTTGTCTGGTTGACCTCCCCTGGGAGGTAATCCTGAAGAGTAAAGTTGTACAGGAAGGCTCAACATTCTTCAAGAAGGCAGTCTTAAAGGTGCAGGACGAGGCCACCCATACATGCCAGATGACAAGCCAGCAGGGAAGAATACTGGCCTGGCTGAACAGAGAGCTTTGGAAGAAGGGGCTGCACCTCACTGTATTCAGTTTTGGGATCCACACTACAAGAAAGATACTGAGTTGCTGGAGCAAGTCCAGAGAAGGGCAATGGAGCTGGTGAAGGGTCTGGAGAACAAGTCCTATGAGGAACAGCTGAGGGACCTGGGGTTGTTTAGTCTGGAGAAGAGCAGGCTCAGGGGGGACCTTACCGCTTTCTACAGCAACCTGAAAGGAGATTGTAGTGAGGTGGGGGTTGGTCTCTTCTCCCAAGTAACAAGTGATAGGACAAGAGGTAACGGCCTCAAGCTGCACCAGGGGAGATTTAGACTGGATTAGGAAGAATTTCTTCCGTGAGGGGGTTGTCAGGCTGCTGAACAGAATCATCCAGTGCTGTACATGGTGCCCTGAAATTGCCCACCTGACCTTCAGCTGCTGCTCCAGAAGGATGGAGATCTCAGAATAGATGCTTCATATACGTAAACCCTGTGCAGATGTCTCCATACCTGCAGATCTCCAGACAACAGTCTCTTCTCTCAAGACTTATGGTAAGGCATTCAAATAGCTCTCACACTGTTTGTAGTATCGGGGGCATCACTTGAACTGGTCTGCAAGCTCAGAGTTCATCATCATCACCAGTTGTGAGCACAAAATTAAATGAACTGCAGGGCAGCGTGAGTGATAGATGAGCAAACTGAATGTTGTTACATTTCTAGGTCCTGCACTCTGGTGAAAGCAATTACGAAACAGGGGGCAGCAAGACGGTAAATGAAATGAATGTCTGTATTGCTGATAAATATTACTGTATTGCAGAAGGAGAAATGGATTTTGCCACCAGAAGACAGATAATTTTTTTCCACATACATAGTTACATTTCCAGAAATACATCAGAAAGTTGTACTGTAATGTGCAGTTTATGCCACAGTTAACAGCAAGACTGAGACTCAGTACTGCTCTGCTGTATTGCATACTGCTGGAGAAGGGCTTTGCTTTTTCAGATTTCATTCACATTCATTTCTATTTTACCTGCAGAGGCTATACAAGGTGTGACACCTTTCAGCATTTCCTAAGAAATTTGTGAGTAATCCCTAAACTTCCGAATATGAAAAAGTGAGATTAGACAATATGGAGGTAAGTCAACGACTCATAAATCTTATTCTGTCCCGTAAAAGCAGAGAGTGCTGAAAACACATAATGGCAAGAATAAGTAAGGCCTGCCCTGCTCAGACAAGGGCTTTGCTGCAGGAGTTTGGCCACCTGGGTACACAGCTCACCACTTCACTGTGAGACATACTGAGTGAGACTCCTTTCACAGCCAGCCCCCTCATGCGACCGCTGGAGATCTCCTTACAGGTAGTGGAGGCAAATGTGCTTTTAGGGCACAAGCATCCGGCCTGCTTTAGCAATTTACAATAAGGTAAGAACAATCTCACCCCAGAAATGGCTCCTTTCCTTCTCTGTTCATACTCAGGGGGAAACAATCCCTAAATGTACTTTAAAGATGGTAGAGCATCAGCTGTGCCAGAGGATTAGGGAGCAGCATTTCACTTTTGGAAAGACTGTGCCTGAAATGGAAGTAAGACTTCCAAGTGGATAGCTGTAGAGATATTTGAAGATGCGACAAAGACCAGAAAGGAAAAATTAAGGACCGAGAGAGCTGATGTAGGAACCCTACTCTACAAAGATGGTGATTGAAACCACTGTAATAAATGAGGTAGCAAAGAAATAGGAGAGAAGGGAGGAGACGTGAACATCAGAGAGGCAAAAAGACACCCACTGCAAAAAGCAAGTGTGGGTGTGGAGATCCCCTGAAAAATCTGTTTAGCTATGCAGATTTCAAGGAAATAATTGGCAGTCCGTTTTGGTGATTTCTGTCTTACACAGAAATCTTTGTACTGAGTGTTTAATGTATCCTCAGGCCCAGTATCTTGAAGGGTCTTGAAGCAGGGTCTGCAGGGTCATATAAAACCACCTGTGCTCTGCCAAAAACACGCCAGGTCAGCCAGCAGTCCCTCTGGAATTTCACTTCCATGGCATGACATACAAGAGACAAACAAACCACACAGAGAACAATCAATGTTTCCCTTTGTCGACAGTAAATTTAGCATAAGGTTTGCTGCTTCACCTCTGAGGCTGGAAATCTGTGACTATTGATGCTTATGACAATGTCACAGCTACAGAAGTGAAAATGTTTCTGACTAAGAGGATGCAGGAATATGCATGCTAATCAGTGGCTGGATGTTAAATAGGAAAACCAAAACAAGCCCAGATTAAATCTATCAGCAACAGACCAAAATAAAACTTTATCATTACTATAATTAACATTTCAATCTGACTGGCCTGCAGATGCATGGTCAGGACAGGGTTTCAGCAAAGAGATCATTACTGCCAACAAAGCATGAACATTTTGGAATAATTTAATGCTGCATGGCTCTAGGTATGATACTGGGGAGTGGTGGGGTTAATATGTGTATGCTTGTGTCTGTATGCCCACTTGTGCACACACATGGTACCTGTCAAAATGCTGCTGATGGCCATTTGCGGGACTGACTCCTACATGCTAGACTCACATGCTTTGGATGACCAGTCTGAGAGAGCTCAGCCATGCATCTGCCTTTGGTTTGGGGGGATATTTTTATGTAAGGACCAGATACAGAGTAATGGTCCTCTATCCAGCACAAACTGCTGAGAGCAGGAGCTTTTCTTCACCTGCAGTATTGCCAAAAGCTCAGCAATGGCTTGCTAGCTTGACAGTGACCATCCAAAAGATGGAGCCTTGTGAGCTTTCTGTTCTGCCTCTACTCTTTAAATGCTTGCTGGTGGTAGCAAATGCGCATGCAGAACATTGTAAGACACGACTCATTTCAGAGATGAAGGTAGAATAAGGCATACTAAATTCCTTCCCCAGTCCCCCACCATTCTTAGGTATGCTGTAGGATTTTCGTCAATGCCCTCTCGGGGACTAATGCCTCTTCCAGCAAATCATTTCCTCTGCATCAAGCTGCTTTTGCAAGTCATGGAGCAAGTCCCTATCTCAAGTTAGCTTCTTTAGACCTTAGC